GCTGGGAAATAGGCAAGCATTCTTTTTATAGCAGGGACATCAGGGTATTTGCTAGGAGAGGATATGTCAGCTAAGCACAGCTACTTGACAAAGGATTAAATAAATGTAGTCTCAGCAGCTCTGTGAGAAAGCACATTATCTGCAGAGACTTAAAGCAGTAAGCTAGACCATGACATACCACTCCCTGGTTTTCAAAAGGCAACACAGGCATACAACAGCATTTTTTTTTTTCCTCCCTTGGGCAATACCCAATTAGCCAGGAGGACTAAGACTGTGGAATTTTGAGCCCATTTTGATCAGATTTGAATGTGCTATCTGACCTCCCATGTGACCACTACATTTTTACCCTGTTTCATTCTGCTGCTGTGCAGAATCAGAAGAGAGTTGTGAGTTCTGAGAGATGCTCAATGAATGTCAAAAAACTATTTTTGTGTCTTCCTGCAAGGCTACTTCTCATGCATTGCACACTGCTACGCATTTCAAAGTTTGATGAAAGTACATGAGCATGCCTGGGAGACAAGTTTTGGAATTAAGACTTCAAGACATTGCATCATTCAATAGGTATCAAGAGCTTTTGGAGATGCTGTACAAGTTAGTAATAGCTTTGATCTAACACCTCTGACATCTGTGGGAAGTAAATCTGCAGTTGGGAGCTGTGTTCAGTGACTTGCACATTACACAATGTAATGGAAGAAAGGACTGCCACTTATGTTTTGTTCTCTCTTATAGGACATACAAGCACATCACAGTATTTTTACCCATTAAAGGACAAAAAGAATGAAAGGAAATTATATCATGAAGCTCCATCTTGAGATCAGTGTAAAAGAACAAACCATGCCATCTTTCATAGCACTAAGGAATCGGTTAAGATTCTTCAGGTTATGCTCAAAGCAGGCCAAACATGGCAGATTCTAGCAAGTGTGTTTGAAGTAGCACTTGTGTTCAAGGATTTCTTTCTTCTTTATCCTGCCCTCCTCCCAGTCCCCACTTGTAAGACAAAAAGATTTGGTTCAGCTTCTGAATAAAAAAGCCATTCATTTCTTATGATCACATCAGGTTCATACAGCTTACAGTGTGGGTATGGTAGAGATGGATGGACACACACACACACTTCTGGGGTCCAGAATTCTGGGATCTTGTCCACCTTTTGGACAAATGGTACTCTCATATCTCCTGCATTAAGATACCTGTCTCTAGTTATTTTTATAAAAAAAGCCTAATTTCTGTTAAAGACCATAGATACCTTCAGGTTTTGTTACCATCCTCAAAAGTTTACTGTTGTTCAGATAGAGTTTATAAACCTTGCAGGAACTTCTTTTCTCAGCTTTGTGCTTTCCTCTTTTATTTAGGCCCACTACTTTTATGTGCTTGCAGAAGATAGCTCCAGTTTCCCAGGGCGATATGAATGTTTTCAGCCAACTATCCAACAGCTATCTGATTAAGATAGTTAATCTCATAAGTATGCACTAATCCAATCCTCAAACATCATTAATAATATCTTTTCTTCCTACTATTTTTTTAATTGTGCCTAGAGTTTTGAAAGCTATGATTAAATGACCTCAGGGCAAAAAGAAAGCTTAGTAAACAGACAGTACACACACAAAATTTAAAAAAAAAAAAAAAAAAAATCACAATACATAGACAAACCATGTATCCTGAAGTGATTAGAAGTGTGTATGCACATGTGTGCACTTATATTTATTGGGATTGACCAGATATTAGAGATGAACTCAAGACATATATTTGTCTTAGTGCTTACTGAACAGCAAAGAAAAAGAATTTGTCAAATTATTAAAGTAATTATTGATGTATTTTCTTAGCTGCTATTTAGAGTGTCTCAGATATTAGTCTAATACTTAAAGACCTGAATTGTTTTCCACTTCATCTGCCTGCTTGCACATAGTTTTGATTTAAAGAAATTAAAAAACTTAATCTTTCTCAGCTACACTATTTTGTCCAACATAGAAATTGCTAAATGGATAGACATGCTGTAGTGCAGTGCGATCTGGTGGATCTTGCTGTTATTTCACTGTTAGTGAAAGATTTATATAACACACCACACCAAACAATATGCACTTAGTTTCTTTGGTAGTTGGGGCATGCTCTATTTTAAGATACTACTAGCTATAAACAAACAGCTTTTTAAATCAGCACAGAAAGTTAACATGAAGAATATATATGGGCCTTTTAAAAGACAGTAGATCCAAGTTCTGAAAACTGGAAAAATATGTGGGCAGATAGGAAAGCCAGCTTCCTTACACTCGTTAGGAAGCACGGCATCCACACCATTTATCAGTGCAGCAGATCAGGTCTAGCCAGGATTGAAGTTCTTTTTAAATGAAACAGTACCCTACAGTACTTACAAACTAGACACCACAGACATTTTGCTACTAACTAAATAATATGAAATAAAATACAATCAAAAGAAGCCTTTTGTTCCACTTTCAAGCTCTAACAGAAATTACATTCAAATGAAAAAAGTATGTTTTCTGCACTGTTGATAATTGACTAATGAATCAAACAGAATACAACAACCAAGTCCATACAAATCAGCTTCATCAGCACGCTGGCTCAAGAGGAGATCACTTTTTTAATTGAGGAAAACAAAAAAAACCCAGGCTTGATTCATCTATTTCTCTTACAAGAGCTTGAAAGAGATATCAGGGAGATGGAGGTGTCAGTCTGAATATGAACACACAGTATAATTACGTACGTAAGACGCATATATGCACAACAGTCCTCCTGTTAGTATGAATGATTAGTGTATAAAGGCAGCGCACATATCTCTTCTACAGCTGAAGAGTGCAATCCTCAGTGGTTCAATGCCCCCCTCTGACAGAGTTTCACAAACAGGGCTGCTTGGGGGCACATTTCAGCCAAAGATGAATAAATTAGCTTGATGTAGTTTGTACAGTAGATCTTCCCTAGGTCAACTTCTTTTGACCAGACCAGGTTAGGGAAAGGTCACATAGGCATTCAACCAGCAGACCAGGGGGTGAAGGGCAGTCATTTCTTCAGCCTGCACAGCCAGAACCAGAACTTTACCTATATCTGGTAAAGGAAATCAGCCGTTACTATAGCAAGGAATTTCCCTGCACAGATTTAGAGAAAATTTTCTTCTGTAAAAGCAGGTGGCTTATACGTCTGGGGGCATTTAACCAGGAAACATCTGGGCAGCAGCAGGGAAAGCCTCCCCATCCTCCTCTACTAGAATGCTGCACCAGAGCGAGAAGCAGCAATCTGGTAAAGGAGATGCAGCTCTCAAAATCCAGGCTGTCTGCTGACATTGCCCAATGGCATGCTACTGTAACACGCTTGTTACAACTCTTCTAGGCAGCAAACAGGAATTGGAACAAAAGCATTTGGAATGTGGCTTACACTGGGTATTTGTGAACTAGAGGTAAAAAAAAATTCCTAAATTAATGGGAAAATTAAATATTTCCTCTTCTGGGTTTCTAAACCCCGCTGAACTATTTTCAAAGGAATCTGGAAATCCCTGTTACTACCTGTTGCTTCATACTGTGTGTTACATAAAACCACTCACATGAAAACATCCCTCCTGCAAACTGTTTTCTCACATTACAGCCTGTTCAGTGAATCACCACCGACACAGAAAGGCTTTTCAGGAAGCAATGAGTATCATTAACAATGTTGATGACAGACAAACAATATTTTCCTTCCTGTGAACAAAACAAAGAGCTACAAGCTGTTACCATCCTCCCTGTCACTACAAGCTCATTGGCTTATGGTACAGACTTTGTAATCCTTTCTCAAAGACACCATCAAAGTGTTGCACAACAGAAAACAAATGACTCAATTCATTATGACCAGTGCATTCTAAAGCCTCTTTTAAGACAGTTTTAGCCCTTCAGAATTATCCAGGGGGTGTGCGTGTAAAAACAAAGGGCATACTTTTGTTTTACAAATATGAAATTAGGCTAGCAAAGTTCCCACTACAAGAGACTGAGACTTCAGCCACCTAGTTTAATCATAACCTTCTCGCTTGGAAGTTCTTACACCGTGTCCAGTTCTCTTTGAATGGAATATATACCTGCTGGAAGAAATGTCCTATTAGATATAGATATTTGATGGCTCCATAGGTTTCTGCCAGCTCTAAGATTTCACTTCCTAAGAGGGAAGTCCATGTCTCAGTTATTTCCACCCTACCTTTTGGCATTCTGAAAGGTCTGGTTTAATACAAAATTTCTTATCTGTACCTATTTAAAAGGCTTCAGCTCATACCACAGCAACAAGCAAAACCAAGTCCAACTGCTACCCCAAGTCTGTAGTCTCAAGGTGTTCTTTTCATAAAATTAGCCAAGAACCATTTTTTCCGACACCAAATCGAGCGGCCACCTCATTTCCCTTTGACAATCGTTTATAACTTTACTCTCTTATGAAATCTAGTGCGCTTGACCTGAAGAGGCCTCCAAAAACGTCACTGTCAGGTGTTAGGAAACATTTGCACTGTGGCTTGCATCAGAGAGGAGACAAGGGTGCAGCTATTGCGGTCTGCCACTCTGCTGACAAACCCTGCGCAAGTTCTACTTCCCTTCAAATAAGCTTAACCCAGAAACAGTTACCTATAGCAAGAACACGAGCAGGCACTTACAGCCATAGGAAGTCATAACACTAAAACAGCTCTCCTCAACAACAAGCACCTTGTGCTTTAGATAGTTACAGAAGTTAAGTAGTTATTGTAATAGTTAAGCCCAACAGGCAACACTTGAGAGGAAGGGAGAGCAGAATATATCAGAGATTACTGAAGTCCTCTCCCCCTCCCTCTTAGCAGCTGCAAGAAACTTAACATCAGACCAGCTCGCTTCTTCATATTCAAATGAAAGATTGGATTTTTTTTTTTTACTGTAGTGCCTCACTCCCTGCTTTTCACCAGGTGGTTTTACAATGGAAATTTCCACCTTCCATCCAAAAATAATCCTCTCCAGTATATTCACATAAGCACATACCTGCCATAGGTATCTTGGTCTTGCGAGTCCACAATGACAGACAGGAATAAAGTTTCAAATGAGAAAGTAATAACAGTTTCTGTGCACCATAAAGCAGATCACAACCCAACTCATTACTTAACTTTTCCTTCTGTCATCTCCCTTTGTGGCCCTCCCCAGTAACTCCTCTTCTTCAACACCATTCATGGTAAACAAACAAACAAAAAACACAAAACAAAACAGCATGTGATCTGAACTTATACCAATCCGGAGATAATTTTACAGGTGCAGAAATTCAGCTAAGTCATTTATTAAAACTCGTTTTATAATATAAAAAAATATCAAGGATGAAGGGCATTGCCATAAAACCAAAGAAATACAAAACCCCCAGGAGCTCTGTTATTTGGTCCTTGAATCTCATCTCCCTTTATTGAAAGATTGCAGGAGGAGTAAAAAAAAAAAAAGAAAAAATAAATTAATAAATTAATAAATTCAGGTTTCCTGATCTGCATAGCTTAATTTTTTAGATGTATTTAAACTAAACTGATATGAGGAACAATTAAAGCACCTAGTGAACTTTACTCCAAATTAACAAAGTTTCTTTTAAAGCCAACTTGATGGATAATGCGCAACCTGGCACATGCGCCAGCCAAATGGGAGAAGAAAAAACAAACATCAAACCAGTGACTGACACAAAGCTTTTCATTCCAAAGCAAAAACAAGCAGATGGTATCCTCCACAAATGCAGGGAAGGGAAGATAATCAGAACTGACCTACTGCAATGAATGCTCCAACTCCATGTACTTGAACTGGTGGCATTTTTCTAGTAACTTCTAAGGCTAGTTGTAATCATGCAAATATCAAAGGGTACAACATTCAAAAGGGTAAACCATAACTGCTGTCAGAGCACGCTCCCCCACTTCTAGGAGCTTAGCTTCCCATGCTCAAGGCGAGCTAAAACAGCTCTCCTCTGAAGCCTCAGCAGGGCTCCTTCTGCCTGCCTGGTTATCAGAGTCGGCTCCTGGCTGCCTTCCCTCATGGCGTGGAGCAGCACCTGTCCTTGATGCATTCTGACAACTGGCATAATTTCAAAGACTCACTGCAAATGCCAGTTACGACCAGTCCATTTGACTGTGCTTTGATTTTTGTGAAACCACTGGTCTTTGAAGCTAACCACTCATGGCTAATTGACATTTGAGAGGTAAACAAGATCTCCATCTATTTCCGTATAAATAAAAAGAGGTCATTTATTCTAGCTCTAGAAATAAGCTGCAGTACTACATAACCATGTTTTACTGATTTTATTAAACAAAGGTGTTTGTGCATGGTTGTGTCTGAGGGAAAGAAAGAAAAAAGAAGAGGATTGCCATTTATGTGTTCTGTTTCGGGGAAAAGGGGGGGGAGGGTGTGCCTGGGTAAAAAAAAAAAAAAAGAGGACATTCCCATTTCTGCTTTGTAGGGCAGAAGACTTAGCTGTTAAACTAACATTTGTATTCTATAACCTAACCATTTTTTTCCTGAGAATGTTCCTAGAAAATTAATAGACTTAGCTTTGACAGTACTGACAGCGTATGTGACCAGAAAGAACCATGAACAGTAGCATTTCTCATCTCAACAATACAGAGATTTAACTAAACAACATGCTGCTTAAAATGCCAGCAGTTACTGAAAATTTTGTCTGTCCACCATTTCAACTGTGTCAACAGCAGAAAATGTGAGGAAAGAGGCTAAAAAAAAAAAAGACAGATCTTGATGTTATCTATACAGTAAATTTAAACTTTATTGGAATTCTACAGATGAGAGATATTTGACTGGCTCTACTAAACCAGGAAGTCTTAAAGAGTTTAAAATACTGACCTTTGAAGGGAAACAATTGAGATAAGAGCTAGTGCAAAGCTAAACTAGATATACAGATATATAAGCTAGATACACCCAAGAATACTGAATTCCTGACAGATCTTGTTTCTAACACAAATGGATCTTTGTCAAACTATAGTCTACGTGTCTGATCTTAATTCAAATATAGGGGAAGGAGAACGGTACAGTTTATCAAAGTCTTCAGGGATACAGGCAACTCTTTGAACACAAATTTACTGGATGGGCCGATGAAAATGATTTTCCCAGCACTGCAGCTCTAACTCTTGCCAGTCCACATCTACTGAACCCCAACACCAGTACTTCACTATGCATACCCTGGTACATAACTGAAAGACTATTTATCTTCCTCTTAAACTCTTCACCCAAGAAGATTTAGACTGGAAAAAAAGGAGATATATGTAGAAGAAGCTGCTTCATGATTTATTTTGAAGACTGAAACTAACCAGGTGAGCAATATTGGTGAGACAGCAAAGTTGAATTGCTATTTTTGGCAGATTTCAATAGGAGTCCAACGGTTTTAGGCAAAGCAGGAGCATATCTCCTGGATGCGTATCACATGGAGCAGCTCCATTCCTCTTTTAGAGGAGGTTACTCCTTTCTGAGTCACTACACTGACCTCCTGAATCCTATTACTGAAGAGCTTTGTTCTGGTCAAACAAAAGACTAGTAATATGATGGTCATTCTCTTTGGCAAGTCTAGCTTTCCTTCTGTCTGTAGGCCACATGTCTCTGCAGTCCACTACCTCATCAATCCAGGAATTCAGATCCAAACTTTGTTAATCCGTTCTAGAGTAATCCAAATCCAAGTTTGACTAAACTCAGCAACCCAGCCACATCCAGTTCTAAATAAAGAAGGTGGGGGGCAGGAGGAATCAACAACAGTCAACATACAAGAATGAATACTTGGGAAGAAATTTTATACTAAAGTTGTTCCCATGTTAGCAACAGCAGAGGTGCTCTAAGTCACCTCAAGGGCTATAGTAATTGACACAACAGCTATACAAATCTGAGAATGGTCCTTCTCTCCTTCAAGGAAGAGGACTAAGCAACACTCTGGATTTAAGTTTGATTGGATTCTCTGCTTAATCTGCAGCAGAGAGGAGAAATCCAAGAAATTCTCACTTTAAAGAACTTCAAACTTTGCATCTTCTATAGGTGACAGATGCACTTGACCTAAGCTATCTTCCCCACTCCTTCCCACCAAAAATCCAAGAGCCTTTGCATATTGCGCCCACTTGTCTTTACTGCCAGAACAATACGCAGTCCTGCAAGCTTTCTACCCTCACCTCCCCCATGCCAGGGAGTTATGGATCTCTACTTTCATACAGCACTTTTACTTCTTTGGCAAGATGGAAGAGTTCTTTAAGGTGTTAATATTTTAGTTTCCATTAGGG